CATGCATGTGTAATGACAGTGTGCTGACATCTATTAGAAAACATTTGAAACCGACACTAGTAGATGTTGAGAGCCGCGCCACGGACAGGATTATTATTTGCAGCATGGCAGGAGAAGTGTCAGGTTATTAGCTGCTTATGCTGACAAAATAAAAAAAACGTAAATCTGCAGTTAGGTTTCTGAAAATACCTACATACTACATAAAGTTTAACAAGTGAGATCAAGATGAAAAAAGAAACACATCTGGTTATTACACCAAAAAAAAAAAAAACATCTATGGAACAAAGCCACTGTAATAAACATCCCTGAGCGGTCCAGTTTTGGTTCAGAACTAAGTGCATCTGAAATGTTTACATTTGTTTAGAACGCACCCCTCAAGCATAATTACCACAAGTTCCTTAAAAACTGTGGTGAACTATTTTGCAAATAACAAATCTGGTTAAAAGTTATTTTGCTGTATTATCCGTATAAACTGTTATGCATAGAGGTAATCTAATTCTGTGTACAAAAACCCCGAACCAGGCTGGTGGGTCTAATTTTTTATGCAGTAAACAGTTTGTAAAATGCCAACAAAAAAACAACAATGCCATGGGAACGCAGGAATATTCTACAGGGCACAATCACTCAGTTACAGTAGTTCTCAGTCTAGCTGAAAATAAATGATTAATTAAGAGAAACAATGTATCTGGAATTTGAGCCTTGACACAAGTTTGGACACTAATGACTGTTGAATCCTATATTTTGTCACTTGGCATGACAATAAGACCTTCAATATAAGGGAAGAATGTAGAGGCTGTGCCTCAAGACGTATGTAGGAATTACTTCTGTACATAATACATATGAAACAGTCCTGAAAAATCTAATTTAAATGAGATCTTTTACTATCCATTATCACGTAAGACAATGTTAATGATGTGACGTCATCTTGTGTTATCTGTGCAACCAGCGGTCTTTTCTGTGCTTAAAACAGCTGAAAAAATACAAAAAAGCTGAATATTGCAAGGAAATTTCAGTAACATCTACAATGACTGCAAGATCCAACCTCGCTCTAAAGATGTACTTTATCCTGAAGTATCGGGATGTACAAACAGCACACCCTGAAATATCAGACACGATATAGCTACCTCATGTAACCTGCCATAACAATGCCCTAATGACTTCTTCATACACATGAAGAAAACATCTAAATGAGCTTTATCTGCTTAAAACCAAACATGTTCTATGTAGTTATTAGCTTTCGTCTTCCGCCTCTTCTTCAACCTCATTGACGTCAATATCTTCCTCTTCCTGGTCCTGTCGTCTGACCTCACAGCCAGCTGAGTCACGCGAGTCATCCACCTCCTCTACGTCCAGTTCCTCTTCCTCCCTCTCCTCAAAGGAGGACTCTCCTGCCTCTTGATCACTGTCATCAGGCCCTGAAAAAAAAGAGTGGTGAACAGAATTCTGAGGATTATTTACTGCTAATTCTCTAGTAGTTTAGTAGTAGACAGGGGTGGACAAACATTCATACACACTTTAGTACTGTAGTATTTTTGTGAAATTACAAGATTGCATACTTTCTGTGGTTTTGTTTTGGCTGATCCATCTTTAAATGATGGCGCACTTCATTTACATCAACCAATTACATGCATTGTGGTGTACTTCATTCAGCTCTGCCATGTGTGTGTCACAGGGAGTGAAGCCTCCACATGACGGCTGCAGTTGTGAATTTTCTCCACAATTTCATCATATTGACCACTGAGGACGGGCAAACATCGTTTCTGCGTGAAGGATAACGAGGCCTTTAGAAGTAAAAAATTATGATTTCTCTCTCGAAAATATTCTTTTTTTGGGCTTAAAAGCCTAAGAAAAATGAGTGTAATTGCGAAAACACAAGCATTCAATGTTACTAATGCTCTGGTAAATCTTTTAAATTAATACAGTACTGAAGAAAAATTTCTCCAGTATTTGGTAAGCGGGGGTGTAAATCGCTGACCTCACAGTAATTAAATTAGATTACAATACTTCAGGAAATTATTCAATGCTCCACGAAATGTAACAGAGGAACTATTTATGTAATTTAGACAATAATCTTACATCATGTAAAACAATACAATAAGCTCTTTTAAAACATGCTTCCACTGAGACCCATAAAGCCAGGCATTATGTCTTTTCAGTTTGCCACTCACGCAGCAGCACTGCATGTAACAATAGAAGGATGAGGAAACATGACCATTCTTCCCACCAAGAGAGCAGAGCCAGTTATGTTCTCCTGGACTCCCAGCCATGGGATTTGACCTAGTCAAATCTCCACAAATACTTAACATAATTGAAATCTGGGAACCAAAACCGAGCATATAGTTTATTGAACATTATTGAAATTAATTCAATAATTGCTACTTACAGATAACTCCAAGTTCACTTCCTCACCTGCAACTCGAGCTTCGTCGTCATCACCATCGTCATCCTCTTCTTCCCGTTCCTGCCGTTTGTCTTGGTTGACCACTTCCTGGTCATCATCTGAGTCTGAGATTATCACACACTCGTCTCCATTACTGTTGTCTGGTGGTTTGGGTGTGCTGTCAAAAATATTTATGCAGCAAGTTAAAACGTGAAATGACTGAGTGAATGACTAAATGATTACCTCCACAATACCATCATAAACAAAATAAAGGTCCTATATTATACTGAAATTTGAGTAGGTCACACAAAAAATGCATAAAGCAAGACAAGATTTTTGTCTAAGTCTGAAGAGCCATACCAAGTGAGTGTTTTATTACCTGCCATTTTGTCGGGGCTCCCATAGTGGGGTCAGATAGTACCTGAGAGGGTTTCTGTACAGATCATCCTTCAGGATCTACAGCAGATAAGAGACACAGTATGTCATAAATCTGTATTTTTGAATCTTAACCTACAGGACCAGCTCCTACACAGCATGGCCTTGTATTATCTTTTCTTTTTTCTCTACTTACAAATGTAGGCCTATGCTGGAGGAATATCCTACTAATGTACCTCACATTCATGAACATTATCATGCCTAGTCTTTTTAGTGTCTGAGTTGTTGTACTATATAAAAATCTTGAGGATGTATTCTAGAACAGGACACTACACTTTTCCAGCACACCAGCTACACTGTACCTGTGCTATGTCATCTCTCCCAGGACTGCTGTGGTCACTAAACCAGTGGAAAAAGCTCTGATAAACTCCTCGTGAAGTTCGCCTTGGTTCTCCATTTCCTGTCAAATTCTGCCCACGGTGCCAAAGAATTGGGTTTGAGAAGGACACTGGTGACCCTGGGGAGAAAGACAATGGTACAATGAACAAAGTAATTAAATGACAATGCTCTATGAACCTATTGAACATATTACACACTACAAGAACCTTCTCTTTAAAATGATCCTCATACAGATGTTATGCTACAGACAAAAACAGAACTTGAGTGATTGTGTACATTGTTGCATTGCTGGCGATCTCACCTCCCATTCCAAGGTGAAGCTCTTTCACTATTACTTTATTCTGAAAGAATGGATTCCGCCGGAAATGGAAGCAAATTCGGTAGCCAAGTTTGTTATTCTTGAAAGTCTCAATCTGCACAAGACATTGAAGCAACAACACAGTAAATGTAAGTGCTCAGTAAAATATATCAAGCTTTTAGCTATGCGGCAAAACAATTTTCGGAGGAACTACACAGTCAAACAAACAGCACTGGGTACTTCACCTCTAAGTTGGTCATGTAGCTGAGAGCATCTTCATCATTCTCATCGATGTGTGCTGATAGGTGTGGGTGGTTGAGAAGCTATAAGGTTCTCAGTTAAGTAAACAAGATATGCTTGCTAAATAATACAAAATCATACCTTAATTAATAAAAATTATGCCCCAGAAAATAAATGCTGCGATTAAACTTTTGGTGCTGCCTCTCAACTAACCCCAAAACTTTCTAGCAATTGAGCACAGGTAATATGGAACAAAGCATGTGATGAAAAAGTGTTAGGCTTTGTCTCAGCTTTATTACAATTTCTAAGTTCTTGGTTCTAGACTATTTTGGATGCAGCAGTTTTGATTCTAAAAATTATCTTGCAATTCTAGCAATCCCATGTACATACACCATACCACAAGCTAAAAGACAGTAGCTGAAAAGTTGAAAGATAATATTTATTGTCTGAAGTCTTTTTTTAATTAAACAGAGCTTAAATGCTCAACGTAAAAATGCTTTTTGTGGAGCATAAAATATGATTACTGACTGTATCAACCATATTTATTGTACATCACTGAGAGGAACTGCATCACTTTGTACCACACTGATGTTCTGACCATGGCACGGCCCAAATGATCTTGCTAGTAGTTTTATAAGTGAGAAATGGAAATCCACGATTCCTTCCAACCGTACATCCCTCTAAATTAGCTGATTAGCTGGATTATGTACGTTAGAGCAAAGAAAACAATAAGTCATGGAGAGTTGTAGTACACCAGGACCAGAGCTGAGAAACGCTTTACACCCCTAACAACAACACAACTTTCCTAAGACTTTCACAGCAGTTACTGAATAAGAAGCCTTCACGGGAATGACTGTGTAATAAAGCTGTAGCCTAAGTGGTTGTAAAGGATACGGCTGTAACCCAGAAGCCCGGGATGGTCTGAGTGATGGCGCTGCGCTGGTCCAGGTGAGGGCGCCGCTGGCGGCTCAGTTTCAGCTCCAGGCGCTGGTGGAGCCGGGCTCCTTTTTTCTCCAGCGCGTCCAGCCGCATCTGCACCTGCGCAAGCAGCGCCACTGACTGGCGCACCTCGGGGGCCATCCTCACCGCCACGATGGCACACTCACCGTCCTCGTTCTCCTCGTTGTCAGACGCAACCGAGGAGCTGGCCGTAGATGAAGAGCCGGCGAGCGAGTCATCCTCCTCTTCTTCCTCCTCCTCATCCTGTTCTCCTCCGTCGTCTCGTTCAGCGCCGCCCAGCACTGATGAAGAGCTGTCCGCTACCGCTGCCTCGGCGTGCCGCCCACTCTCCCTCTCCCTCTCCCTCTCCTTAGCGGAGCAGCCGGGCCGACTGGATCCATCCTTATCCTTCAGCGCTTGCCGAGACGAACAGGGCATTTCTTTAGAGTGGTCGTGACTGCGACCCTCCCCGCCGCCGGTGAGACTCGCAAGAGCCTCGGCTGCGGCGAAAGCCGCTGAATCTGATCGCTCCTTCTCGGGCGAAGCTGAGGGCTCGCAGCCCCTTTCCGCTCGTCCAGCTTCAGCGCCGCATTCCTGCGCTTCAGGTTTTTCCGTTGAACCAGATGAACCGTCAGCCTCACTCCGGTTTTCTGCTACTTTCGCGCTGTCATCTCTATATTTCTGTCCAGAAATACCGGCTTCACTTTTCTCTTCTGGAGCAGCGTCTCCGTCAGCGCGTTCAGATGAAGCGGTCACTCTAACTGGACCTTCCTCCTCCTCTTCGCCCACTTTCGAGTGCTTTGACAGCGGGCAGCCCAGCTCAGATTCCCGCCTCGGGCTGGCGCTTCGCTTTTTACACTCGAACGGCTTACTGCTGTCCGACGCTGTACTCATTTTAGTATGCACAAAAGCCACTTCGAACGGTGTTAAAACGTCTGATTTAATTGCGCTGTAACTATACAGGATTTCGCCCTGATTATCTGAACGTTACTGTTTATTAGCGAACCAGCTAAACCCGTTTGCATAGCAGTTTACCCCACAGTCTGCGTAAATTTCAGAGGCCTAGCTCAGCCCAGCTCTCTGCTAACCCTCCAAATGTCCAGCGCTGGCGTCCACGCCGTCGTAGTATTGCAGTTTATATCAGATACAAAAGTAAAAACTCTTTTACTTAAAGCGCAGAGCATTTCCAATTTCCAGAGTCATTTCCAATTCCCCCCATTTGTTTATAATTCGTCCTTCCGTTCGCCATTTGTCTGAAGCTACGTTGTTTTTCATACGAAGCAGGAAAACAAAACTCTGATTGGCTGAACCGAGCCGCGCAAACGTTATCCAACCAATCGTAAAGCAGAACGAATAAATTACGCACATTTAGTGCATCAGTAATGCGTAACCTTTGCGCTTTTGTAGCCGATTTCGGAAATCAATTAAATTTCAAATGAATTGTTTTGTTTTAAAGAAAAAAAAAAAACAACGTGCACCGTGATCGTGTAAATTGCATATATTTTTATTTTGCAAAACAAAATCAACAGTTTCATTTTTAGTTAAATGAAACATTAACAGAAACATTTTCAACCTTAGTATTTTATGCATGTAGAACATGCTTGTGTAGCTAAAAGCTCTTAGCTTAGCTTACACTTCAGTGGCCTAGCAGGTCAAAGGGAAGGGAAGCTGATTAAAAATCAGAAAGCTCTAATATATTTAATGAAAGAGACATGTTGAGGTTTTGGTGGTGGTTACTCAGAAGGTGACTAAGCACTGAAGAATACAATTTCAAGAATAAAACATGGAATAGTGTGCCACCCAACTCATATCTTGGTCCCTAGAGAAAATAAGATGAAGAGTAGTTAATCATACGGTGCTTTATTATTATTATTATTATTATTATTATTACTACTATCATTATTTACATTAGCCCATAGTCCACTTCAGTCTTACATATATACATGAATGACACAGGCATGTGCTGATGTAAAAGTTATACAACCTACTGAATATGATGACTACCTAAACTTTTAGCAAGGTTTATAATATTATCACAATATTTAAAAAAACAAAAACGTACTTATAAAAAATATAGTTTTGGTATTTCTGTATTTAAATAATACTTCTATTATGGAACTTTGTATAATAACATAGTATTTTTTTTTTTTTGCTTTTCAGTGGTCTTAATTGACCTCATATCATTAGTGTAACTGCAACTTGTTAGCCTAAAATGGGGAGATTATTACTGAATTTTGGCACATGGCTATCAATGACTGGAAGTCATTATAATTGATACTACGTCCATTACTAACACCTCACTTGTGCCAAACACATATTCTTACTCATGCTGTAAAAGGCAGAACAAAATGTATCACATTTGAGTTTTATGATATTGAACCATTACTAGAGTGGTACCTGTGTAACTTCTGCCCTTTTCTCCTTAGAAATTCTGCCTCATCCACTGTCCAAACAGAGCCCTTTCTTCCATCGACACGGACAAAGCACTTATGAAGACTGAGGTTGTGTCGAACAGCATTCTATTGTTGGGAGCAGAACAAAATTACCACAAAACAAAAAAAAACAAAATCACCACAAAATAGAGAAATCTTTTTTAATCTAATTATTGTTATGGGCTAGATTATATAGATATCTCTATATACTTGTTCTGCAGTACAGTTATAGCCAAACACTCTACCTAGTATCATTTATTAAACTGTCACATGATTGTAACTGTCAGCAATTCTCATGTGAATTAAAGATGTTGATTAGTGTGAACTGATGGCTGTGGTTTTAGAATTCATCTGCTTGTGGGTACAGAGTCACGGAGGGACAAATACAAGTGCACTCGTGTGGTGAGGCTCACCTTCCACGTGGCCGTGTTGTGACGGAAGTAGCAGAACATGCGTGTGAACCAGTGATAGATTTCATTCAGAGTTAGTTGTTTCTCTGGAGACTCCAGAATGGCCTAAATCACACCAGACACTCAGTTAATTTAAAGTTAAAAGAATCAATGTTTGTCTGTCAGTAAGAAAATGCATAATATGGGAAAGGAAAAGGCAGCGCTCACCCACCCATCTTATCATGGAGGCATAGGTGAATGGTGGTCTTATGTTCGTGTATTTGTAGCACTCAATGCTGGGGATAATTCCTATAGAATAACAGCACGTTACTTAATTACAGGGCTGGTGTCAGGGAGTCATTTTGTGGGGTAATGCCCCACCAATAAATCATTGTGCCTCACTAAACCCACTATTTTGTACAAACTTCTATAATGGTGAGCAGCCATGCATGCTTGGCTGCATTTTAGGGATTCCTAAATGCTACAAGGACCACTGGTGTAGGTCTAACATAGATTTCTGCCCTAAATATGTATATTTTCTTCTGCCACATGGATGCACTGCCCGTCCCCCCCTCTAGTTTTTCGGAAGTCCCACTCTTGATTTAGTTCTGGCATCTGGTCTGTCAATAAAAACATGCCAGTGCAAATTTTGTGTATTTACAAGGTAAAGTTTTAACTGGCTATAGGCTGTAGCTTAGCCTCTTAAGTTATTTGAGTTTATCTAACCTGGTATGAACTGTGAGGTAGGGATCTGCCAGTATCCTGGAGGTAACATTTCAGCAGGGACTCTGTTACCACCCTGAAGACCGGTCACACTCTCACAGGCCTGTAGGCTTCCTGAAGGACTGCTGGACTGCTTCAAACTGGGGTTGTTCTGCAGCCAGAGAGTATTGAACATGGGTTTTATGCATAAGCACTGTCTATATTGTGTGTAGACATCCATTTTAGGAGGCTTACAGCAACATTAATTATGTCGCACTTACCTCAGTGCAAGATTTTATGTCAAACAGATGCATGTACATGGCCTGTAGTCTTTGTCTCTCCACAATCAACTGCAATAAGTGACACCGACCAAATAGTATCAGTTTTGCTGATAACACTTGAAATTTAACATATTTCCTCAAACTGTGTGTGCCTACCTGATTCTCAATTTGTTTTACAATATCTCTCTGCCGTCTCCATTGTTCAAAAGTTTTGTCCCCAGGGCGGTGTTCAGAATTTAGATGTCTATTGACCATACAATCAAAACAATAAAGATTATTAATGTATTAACATGCATATGTGAATTCAAAAAGCTAGCTGCCTAGGTAACTGTTATAATATTATGGGCTCTGAAAAGGAAGCCATAATCTTTTTACAGCCTACTTACAGCTGGCAAAATATGTTAGATAAACTACGAAACTACAACAGCAAGCCCATGATGTTACCTGAAATAAGGATTTAAAAACTGACTGTACCTAGCACAGATTAAATTAGTTGTTTAATGTCACGTAATGGACTCACTTCAAGAAGTGTGTGTATTCTTTGAATACTTCTTCACAGTCTGGCCAGCGACATATCCCTTTGGCAGACAGCAAGCTCTCTAAGACTACCTGTGGCAGTCTTTCAGTAGTAAAAGATGAAGACAAGACAACATAGGAACAGAAAGAGAAGGAATAGGGGAGAAAAGGTCAGAGTGCAAAAAAAGGAATATCATACAATGAGTTACCCAAGAGAGACACAGAAAAAGGCACTGTAGGAAATCTTATATAAAGGACTGTGTCTAAAATCAAATGCTTGTTCTGTATGTAGAAAACTAAGTGGGAACGGAGCAATTTTCTAGGTTGTCTCAATGTAGACAGCATTTTCATGCAGTGGCTCTCAACTTAGTCCTCAGGGCCCTCCAGTGAGTCCATGTTTATCCCTTACCCAGTTCCCCCAGACAACTGAACCAGGTATTCAGCAGATGGCTTCAGGTGTGCTGGGACATTTGAGACTTGTTTTGAGAGTCACTGTGTTAGCACAATTAACCATTTATTCCCCTTAAAATGTAGGGGACAAATCTCACATAATCCAACCAACAACCTTAAATTTGAAGGGACACTCAAGCCACAATGAAAAATATAACCACTGCTACATCTGTTGTAAACATGTCTACTCAAACCCTACAGCCACAATAGTCCTGAGAGTCAGATTTGGATTATAAACTTCAAACCCCTTCAGACAATGTATCTTTAAGGTGGGAGGAACTTTTGAAAAACTACAATTGCTTTGTGACGGATATATGAGGGCAGGCTGTTTGAAAATGTTTTTTTTTTTACTCCCCCACAAGCTGGCTAATGCAGATGGAGGCCAGACAGCTAAAAATTGTGCTAGGGAGCCAAATATCATGTTTATGTTGATCAGTGAATTTCTGATGGTGCTGGTCGCTGAATATTATACTTGGATACTCGGCTTTTGGAAATGTAATCTGAATCTGCCTTTACAGTCTGGAACAACAGATATATCCTGAACTTACCAGATACTGCGGATTTTTCTCACTAGAATGATTAAAAATGATCATATGACGTTTTTGTTGTGATCAAATGGAACATTTGGACCGAAAGTTAAACAAGATTTTTTCTAACGAGAGAGCAGAAATATCAGTTTGGAATGGGGGTAAACTGTGTGAAAGTGTTGATGGCAATGCATTAGAAGGAAAGCTGACTGGAGAACAGAATCTTTGACAAGAGCTAAACCAAGAAAAAGCTATTATAAGCTAGTATTCCACAACTTGAGTGAATTTAAGCACATGTATGTCTTGCAGGATTATAAGATAGATTTCCTTTTTGACTCACTCTGTATGGCACTCTGGTGTGCTCTGTCTGGGACTTGGTCCAGATGCACTGTCTCTGCAGGCAGTGTTTGTGTTGTAAGACGATGAGTTCACTGAGAGGTTATTTTCAAATTCAGCCTTACACACGATCTCGGTAGGCCAGTTTCCCAGACCAGACTGGTTGGACAAAGCTGTGGAATATGTTCAGAAGGAATGGTAAGAAGTTTCTATTAGATATTTTTGTTTAATTACAACAATACTGTAGCAGCAGAATTAGCTTAAAGTGGTAAGTGGTTCATTTTACTGAAGTGTAGAAGACTGGTTAATGTAGGTAGTACCCTGTGGTAGAACCTGGTTGCCCTTGCGTAAAACTGAAGGCCTCGACACACTGAACTGCAAATGCTGCTTGTTGGTTTTATCACTGGTATTCTGGACACAGAGAACAAGTGGCTTGAGGTTACTGGGATATGCTTTTTTCTGCATTATGTTCAAAATGTATAACCACTATAAATAACTCCAAATGAATCTGATTACCTTAGTGATGAGGCACTGGGGTGAGGTCAAAGGTGAACTGTTGACTGATGACGTTAGGTGTGATCTGGAAAGCTCAGAGGACTCTTCCTCCGCATGCTGAAGCTGTTGCTGGGCACTGCTGTCATCCCGTCCTCTGCTCGTTCCAGCACCATTACGAAGCATAACTGTCCACACACATCACATATACCAGCTGTAATTTCAAGCCATTCTGATAGTGAATGAGCAGTGGTTTTAAAACTGTTGTTTTGGTAGGGTGACTGTATTTGGCCAGGACTTCTAAGGTGCCTCAAATGTCCAGGATTTGGCATTGCTGTGGCTTACCTGCCCTCCGTGTCCTCCTTTTTGAAAAAAATTTGGTAACCCTAAATTTGAAGAAAAATCTAATGCACAGTTTCCCCCAAATTTCCCTCAAATGCTATTTTGCCTCTGCACAGGCACTACAAGGCTTGTGTAGCTATAAGTAACGGAAGCTTATAGCACACCAATTAGCACAGTGCGAAGTGCATGCTAGTTCATCAAAACAGCTTGTTAAGACCATCAAGTGTTTTAGTAATTCAGTTTCAGACTTGAGCCAAGACTCAGGATGTTTTTTTATTGTCTGTGGGACTTGTCCTGGACTCAACAGTCATTGTACTCTGATTTGTTTTGGTCTCAGCCATTGGCTTCACCAAATTTAGCTTCTGGTCTTGACCAAGGTCTACTACCACCAAAATTATATATATAATTATAATTATTATAAATAAAATCATATATATTTCTGTCTTTTTGCTGTCACCAATGCACACTGACTCATACTCAACCTATCAAATTATTTTTACTGTTTGTGTTTCATTTTCTTGTACTGACAGCAAAGACTAGTTATGGCTTGGTCCTCAAAAGGGGACTCAATGTTTTGGGGGGTCTTTATTGGGTCCTGGCCCCCTTTAGACTCTCATTCTTGACCGCTCATAGTTTTGGACTTGTCTTGAGCTCGAACAAGTTGGTCTTGATTACAATCTTAAGTCTCAAAAAGTCTTGCGTATTTGCTTTCTGACACTCTATGACATACTGTTATCTATAAAAATCATCACATCTTGAATCTTGAATTTGAAACTTGAATCTTGAATTTTGTCCATAGGTTTGTCCATCTTAAAAGATAACATTCAGTGTTAGAAAGCACATAATATTACTGACCAAAGAAGACCTGTATCTCCAAAATGGCAACTTTAAAAGAGAAGGCAAAAACATACTTTACTTTTATTGTAAGTTTATATGAAGAGATTTTATTCCAAGCAAATGTTGAGAAATTTTCACGCAATGTAAAGTGCAGCTGTTGTGCTCAAACGATGCAGAAAAATAAAAATCTTAAAAAATGGAGATACTTGGTTTCTTTGGACAGTGACGATACGCAAATCCATTTCAGACTGACTTAACAACTCATAGTTTGAGGTAGTGGTGGGCGACATGGCAAAAAGTTTTTTACCATACAAGACGTGTAACGATTTTTATTTTTTCTCAAGTCTGTTAAATCAGAACAGACAAAGAGAGCCACATTTTAAAAATAGTATCAAAAACTATGAATTTAAATATTTTCTATCTTTCAAAAACTATGAATTTAACATTTTACACACTGTGCTACACTAGATCTAATTAAACAGGACTAATTATTCTCTCTTTGTAATCAAACATGCAGTTGGTAAGTGATTTTTCAATACTGACAATATCCTCAATATTCTCAGCAAAGTATATTGTGACATATTGTGATGTAATTTATCACGATAACAATAAATATTGCCATAAAACTGTAAACTGATAAAGTTCTAGTGTGAGGCAAATGATTTGGGCATGCAATCTGCCCAATGCTGACAGATGGCTATAAGTTTCCACTACTTATTAGCCTTGTAGCTCCAAAGCTATCTAAAGAAGCCAATGTCAGTACCCAAACTTGTCATCACATTAATTACAGCAAGGGGGGAATAAGAGTTTTGCCAAACTATTCTGTTCTACTCTGGGGAACCTGGGATTGCAGGCATCCAGGTGTCAATGCAATAATAAATTTATACTTATAATTTATATAAACCTATAATTTATAATTAAAATACCTAATGATTACAATTATTTAAATTGTTGATGGTTTAGGGTTAATGTACATCTATCTAAAAGTTCAGCAGGCATTCTGTAATTAATGTGGAAATAAAAAAGTACACAATTAGAAAGTGTATTAAGAAGAAGTTTGTTTTTGAGTAGTAAAACTCAAAAGACGATTTGTACTTAAAGCCACACACACTAATTTGAAACACTGTACTTATATTATTGAAAACAAGTGCAAAAATAATATAACATAAAAGTAAAAAAAATGAAAAGGACAAATATTATTTTCTGAATAATCACTCAACTGTACAAGCACGTTGTGTATATTTCATTCCAAAATGCTGTATATCCACTCCAATATGTTCCTCATAAGCTCATATGTATATCATATGTACTGCATAAGCTCATATGTATGTATATGGAAGCATCACACTTTTTCAGAAGGTTCTGCAAACAATTATAATGTGTTTTTACTAGCAAAACACACAGTGCAAATAAATTCACAAGCACACTCATGTTTATAACAACAGAGTCACTGACCTCCAATATTGATGTTTTTCATATCTTTACCATTCCTGGATGAAATAGGAAGCAGAGCCCGTGAAACCTCTCGATGGATGCTCTACTTCAACACAGCCTAAACATCAACCAAAACCACATAAGCTGCTTCCAGGGGTCCTACTTGTGTTACGTCAACTGCTCATGCTGAACTTTCTCCAGACACAGTGGAGAAATCATGCACATATCCGTGGCTTCTCTGCTCTTGTGGTATTGCACAGGTGTGCTCTAAACCGATGACGAGGGAAGCAACCTGTGGACCACAGGAAACCTTGCAGATGGAAGCAAGACACACGCATCCGCCTGCGTGGGGCCCCCGCGGTCGAGGAAAAGAGCAGAGACTCTGTTTGCTTACAACAACAGCCACTCTCATTATACAACCTTTGTTATCTGATTTTGGTATACTGCCAGCCAAAACATACCTGTAGAATCCAGGAATGTTATAGTATGAAAATATCAATATCCAGGGCAGTAACTCTACTGGTTGATTTCCAGTGTTAAATATTTTGATATTTGATTAATAACACGTGAGGTTTAGATTGAATTGCAAAGAGAGAGTTTTTCCATTTAAACAGCAGTGCTTTTTGATATACAAAAAACTGAGTTTAAACTTAAAAAGTTAGAGTTCAAGCTGCCTTCAAATTTTCAGTTATTTGAACTTCAAATAATAAGTTGACAAGGCTAAAACACAGATTCTTGTTCTTTTAATTTACTACTAGAAGTTCAATTAACTCCAAAGTTTACGGCACATTTTGTTGATTTTCAAAATGAAAATAAGTTAACACATCCTCTACGGAGAACACACACACACACACTGCTTTCTAGAGCGCTTATCCTTCAGGATCACAGGGGGTGATGGAGCCTATCCCAGCGGTCATTGGGCAGAAGGCAGGATACACCTCAGACAGGTCGCAAGTCCATCGCAGTACGGAGAACAATTTGCTGAATTTTACATATTGGAAAAAAATGTGGTCTGTGCAAAAATTGTATATTTTATGTTTCATTTTTTCCCCCTACAAATTGGGCACTAAAATTTCCTGAAAAATGCATATTTATGTTTGTTCCCTGTAGAGGAACAGCAATAACAACAAAACTTTTGAACAGGGTGTTCAGACTCTTGCATAGGGCTCCATATCAGTGGACAAAGTAAGTTTTATCAGAACGTTTTCATTACTCTCAATCATTTAATAAATTTTTTGTTCATCATGTGAACGGAGGCTTCCCGTGAACTGAACATAAAAATCACGTGAACACATGGTGAACATAAAAAACAGACTGAACGCAGTTTCCATTTTTCCTCAGCAATGTCCAGGGAGAGCAGCAGTGGCTGCATGTCCACAATTGTAGCCTCTTGCTCTCATACTGCTACACTACGTTTTGTTTTGCATTCAACTGTAGCTTTCCACTTTACTATTGCTTTTGCTAGTCTGGTGTTCATTGACTTGCTATTGTCTTTGTTAGCTTGGTGCTTTTTGACTGTGTTTTGCTTGTAAATGACGTCTCAAACGTGATGTACTTAGGTGACAAACAAATTCACAATATGACAGTAGCTGTAAATAACTGGAACCATGTTTGAAAAACAGGGCTAAAGTCATGGAGTTAGTCACCGCAATATACAGCATGCAAGCTTCAGGATGAAACTGCAGATGGATTATCAAATTGGAAAATGTGTTAATGGTGTTAAAAAAAATGTCATGTTGATAATTTACCAAGTCAGCATGTTAATAATGTGTTAACTTTGACACTACTAAATATTACAATAAATTCAAATAAGCATTTAGTTATTGATAATAATAGTTAGAAGAATACAGACTTAGTTCCTCTTCCTTTTCGGTGTACTTCGGCCATTGCACGGATCTGTTCAATTCCAACACAAGCACATCTGTTTTAACTTAATATACTATTACTGAAGCATGAACTGAATACTAACTGCAAATACAGGGCTGCCTTGAGAAAAGGTTTGGAAATGGTTAATCACACTTCATCGCACTATCCAAAAACATCTAACATCCCTAAACTTAACTCTCAAATATCCACATCTCCAAACCATAAATGAAAAAAAGAAAGAAGAAAGAAAAAGAAAAAAAATGCTTTCACCTTTGGATTGTAGAGCAGTGTTGCTGCTGTGGTTTACTGTACACGTTTAAGCATGTAATCATGCACAAGTTTGTGTCTTCCTTGTCTAACAGGTAACAGGTGACATTTAGAGACATTTAACCACATCAACAGCGATAAATGTCAGTATTTTTTTTTACCTTGGGGGTTTTTCAAGTTTGCCAGAATCAGAGAAGAATCAGAGGAGAAGGTTTTTGTTTTGTGGGTGTCTAAGGGGTGAAGGAGTGCATTGAAAAAAGAACATAAAGAAAATGTATGCATGCTATAAACACTGTTGTAAGAGGAAATTATTAAACATATCAAGTTTGGTCATAATTAATTTATGTTGTCGCATTATTCATCCTTACATACAGAAGTTTAGCGTCAAAAATGAGGATACTATGTAGAATTCCAGAAAAAAACTACATTAGAAAGTAAAAATAATGCAATGTTTCTATTACTAGAAATGTACATCCATAGCATCATCATTTAGTAAATAGCTAATATTGTGACGCATGTGTTACAAAATGGCATGAGAATAACAACTGCACATTATTATTTTTATATGAGATCACTGATAACAATCTAGATGAGTGGAAATGGCCTACACAAGACCATTTCTGAAACAAAAAAAAAACAACAAAAAAAACTTTACCCTCTGTGTGATTTTCTGAATAGTGCTCAGCTCTTTGGGGGTTGCACTCAGGCAATAAAATCATGTGTGAAAATATTTCTGTCCTATCTAGCAAAAACCCTATATAATCCAATTACAGTAATAATTCAGGTCAGTGCTTGATTCTCCTCACAGGCAATGTAAATTCTGATCATTCTGTATCTTACCATAAAAGTTGGCATCCATGTCAGATACATACATAGGCAAGATCTAAACACATTTCCACCACAAAAACGTTGTTTATATCTTACTGTTATGGAAAGCCATACAAAGTAATTTCCAAGCCTCTCAATGATTGGGAAGATTTGCCCTTGTCTCAAATGTTTTCCAAATGAAATTATGGCTCTGAATGCCATCCTGCCAAAACCTTCCAAAAGTAAGGCAGACAGAAACGATCTGTGGGCCTCCTTCACCTTCACCAGTCAGTTTTTATGACTCTACAACTAGAAAGCCACTGAAAGAAATTTTAATTCATAGCTAAGCAGCAAAGAAACTGCTGCTTGCTAATAGCATAAACGTTCATCTGATTTTTGCTGTAAAGCACCTGTATGATTGTCCAGACTTCTGACATTTTTTACAGACATCAAACACAGAACCTTATATTTAACATGGACACTGTTATTTCAATTATAAATGAACAGTGCAATGGGTAGCAGTGGTGATCACAGCTAAAGCATGGTTACACATTCAGCAAGATAATGATCCAAAGCACAAACACCACATCCAGAAGAGAAGAGTTTCAGAACGATAAGCTGAAGGCTTAAATGCCACTGAGATAGCAAAGCAGCAGAAACAAGCGGCTCATGTTCGAGAATCCGCAGATGGCCAAATGTTCTCAGCTGAGGTATGAGACTGCGGCAGAAGAAACTTTTGGTTGCGGTCTTTACTAAAAGTACTATTTCCAGTTACAGTGCAAAGACTGCAGTTTTTCATGTAGCGCCATAATCTGCTGCGCAACGTTAACAAAAACAAGGCATTATTAAATAACATTCTGTTCCATACTCATTCAGGTTCCTATGCACATTCTACACAGATCAATCTCACAGAATTCACTGTCAAAATAATGCAAAAAAAAAACCAAAAAACAAAGCTCAAGTACACCTTTTAAACACAGCATTAACAATCTTTCTTTAAATAATTATTTGTGCATTTCCAATATTTTTTGATCAAATAACTAGTTTTAATATAACCAAATTCATTATTCAACATTTAATACTTAATTTGGGCTCAGTGTTTGTGATTGCATATTTATGGAATAAGTACTATTATGCATATTTTAGCTTTGCACTACAATTTAAACACATAAAAGTGGGGTTAATTTACTACTCTTCCAATATGAGAGTTTGCATTTTGAGCATACGAGTCATTCACCTAAGTGAAATGTAATATGCATTTCTCAGTCTGAATACAGCTCTCGCAGTCTATTCATTATGTTACCTCTGTTGAAAAGGTATGAAATCTTCTTTAAAATATGAGCCCTGTATTAACCTAAATAGACATGATGCCAGAAACAGCTTTAAACTATATCCAAAAAACAAAGATGTGTGGCAACCAAATCAGAAATTAAATAAATCAATGGCTAAATCATCAGAAAAATATCGAAGTTATGCATGAAATATTTTGCAGGCCTCAAGCAAACATTAGCCCTTAAAACATGCTGAACTGGGTTCTAATATTATATATTTACTATATATAAATTAATTAGACATGAATTAATTAGTCAATAAATACATGGAAAACAATGCAATTTCGTGTAATATGCATTTCTCAGCTGATTGTGTGGCAGGCAAGTAACGAAATAATTGACGGATAAATTAATACAAAATATCTACGCATCAAATATTCTGCAGGCCTCAAACAAACGTCAGCCCTTAAAACAAGTTTAACTGCATTATTATTTATCTTTTATATATAAGTTAACTAGATAGTCAGTAAATACATGCAAAACAATGCAAAATGTCTGGGTGATTATTAAATGACAGGACGGAGGAATGGAAGCCTGGACCCTTCGGCTGGTCCGTAACAGCAAATGTAGAAGATGTTTATCTTTTTTTGACTAGTTTGCTTTTGATCAAGATATTCATCCACATGACACATACAAAGGCACTGAGCTTGTGGTGTAAATGCCCAGTCACAACTGTACTTCTAATGTAAAATTACAGATTGTCAAGCATGACTGTTTGCTTTTATAAAAGCATTATATCAGTACTTCCTACAAAAACCCGGTACTTTTGTCAGTGATACAGCATTCTAATTGTTCCTCATGAATAAACTTCTGTCCAAAAGCCGAATTACATCTCTAACTATAAATCAGACAAAAAAGATAAAAAAAGTCTCATTAACCATGTCATTTCTCTCGTACGCTTCTCAGATCTGTAAATTAATGTTGTAATATTTCAGATACGGTACAGAAAGTGTCAATTGATGACCTCATTGCCCACATTTAACAGCTGTATGTAGCTTTTTATATCATGCTGAAGAGTCATCTGAAGAGTGCTCCCACTCGAGAGTCTTAGAGCATTTATTTTTCCAGACGCCTGATTATTTCCTCTCACCTACAAACTAGAGCGGATATAGCAAGCGA